GTGAATTTATGATGAATAAAACTTGAGTTCAATGACTTTATGTAATACATTTTTTTTCAAATTTTGGGCCCCAAAATTAAGGTGCGTCTTATACATGGGAGCATCTCATACATGGGGAAATACGGTAGATGCTGTTCCGTTCCCCCCAGTACTCAGATGAGAAAACCGAGGACCCAACTATAATAAATAAGTGGCAGAACAAAAATTTAGCCTAGTGCATGTGACTCCACACCCTTAGTTCCTAAAGACTACACAGAACTGTCTCTAGAAATCTTTGTCCATGAGAAGAAAATACCACTCAAAGGAGACCAAACTTCTGCCTCTCAGTTCTTAAACATAAGAAAGGACTCTTGATGACGGTGACATTAGAAGAATGTCCTCAGGGACTTCAAATAGCAACTTTCTAAGGCATCTCTCAGTGCAAGCCAGAGACAAACTATCAAAGAACAAACATCTCTTAGTGAGAACCGTTTAGTTTGTGTGACCTTGAAGCATTTGGGAAGTAGGAAGCCCTTGACCAGACATGATAGCCCAAGGCTACATCCCTGGCAGCTCGGCTTGTTCCAGAGGTTAAACTGAGACAGGGAACAAAAGAGGAGAGAAGGTGCCAGCGTTCTGTGCGTGTCAGGTGATGGCTAGGATCAAAGAGATCGCGTAGGGAAAGCGCTCTGCCACCTGGGATGATCGGAGAGCAGGCGCAAGGTCAAACGTTCATCCGCGTTTGCCCAGGACAGCCCTGGTGTTGTCCCGGCAGGAATAGTGATCGTGTCCCCTCTCTCAACAGTGTCCAGTTTGGATGATAACTACAGGACATCTAATATGACAGGGAATGATGGTGATGATTATGGTGTCCACAGAATTTTCTTACTTTGAAGGCTATTTCATACAAATTCCAATTGCTTGTTTTGCCCAGAAGGGGAAAAAAACACATGCATGGAAAGTATGATGTATCTAAATCAGTTTGTAGGTAGACACTGTAATACAGACCTCTTTAAATAGTTTTTTTTAAATGGCGCTTAGTATCTTTATGTTTTCTTACAAATTGGAAAAGACGAATCAGGTCAACTGACTCGTTTGGATATTTCTGGCAAAAGTGTCATGGCTCTGACTGATTGTTTGGAGGACGAAGTTGGGCTTGGAGCTCCCTTTTATTCTCTGGCAACCCACCTTAGAATTCATATGTCACATATCAAGAGCTCACACTGAAGGGTGAGTAAGCCCACTTAAGATGTCGAATCTGCCGACTTAAAGTCCTGAAATAAAGGTTAACATCAGAGAAGTTTACCTTCTTACCTGACAGTCTTATTTGGTGTAACCAATTTTAACTTGGTGTCTGGAAAAAGTTAATTAGCAATATTTTAAAAATTT